TAGAGAGTACTGAGACCTAAAGGAAGAAGATAGGCTTGAAGAGGAATAAAGTACAAATTTCATTCAAAGATGACTGAAAATAAACTGATCTATTAAATCAAGCTGTGTGTTATATAAAGAGGAAAGAAGTACCCATTCTGTGCTAAAAATTACTAGCCATAGACTATAAGAAGTAATTGTTGTGGGTAACCAGATTTGCTCTCAACAGCTGTGCAGGACGAATATTTTAAAAGTTAAAAAGCACAGATTGTGCCTCTGACAATACTGTAACTGAAAACCAAACTGTTGGTATCTTTTTTACCTTTTTTTGGCTTCTACTTTATATAGACAGATTAAAGACATCAAGTTATGAGTTATGTGAAAGAAATCTCATGGTTGGTCATCTCTATAAAACCATTTACTTGGATCTGGTTAGTTCAGTTCATGAGTTCTTTAAACACAATAGATAGAGATAGATTTTCAAATAGCATTGCCATTTTATTATGTAAATCCAGATCACTCTCTCAGCAAATACAGTGTCCTATCTCTGTGTATTTTATTAATAAAATACAGATTTTTAGATGTTCTCCAGCCAGTTCTGCAGCCAAGTGTGGAGAAAAACAGTATTTCATTCTCATTCCTGAAATAATTACTTCATCTCCTACAGTACCAAATATATTTTCATAGTTTTCAGTTAATATGCAGAGTTTCAAATGTTGTCATTTGTCTTAAAATAGCTACTTTTCACATTTAGCTATAATACTTGAAAATCATTCAGAACACTGACTAGAATAATAAAAAATAACTTCTTTCCTGAATCTTTTATATTTTTCTCACTGCATTTTAATTGCTTTGCTAAATTACAGATATAATATCTGATGCTTCTAACCATTTTGAGATTGATTGTTAATGAAAGGGATATAGGGAAAGGAAAACTCATTTGGAAGTTGATCTCTAAAAGGCAGTTATTTAATTATACCAGATATATTGTCAGATTTCTGCATTCTTTTCTTTCAGTGATGATAGGCCCCTCAGGATGATCATTAATTTTTGGCTATTGGCTTATTTCTTTAACATGCAGACTGAGACTTAAAGATTTAAACAGCAGTGTTAGAATGCAAAACCCAAAGATACTACTGTCTTAAAAGTATTAGGGCAAAGTCACAAAGCTTTCCCAAGCCTCAGTATTCTTTATATAAAGTGGAAATAATAGTTCTTTTTTTTTTTAAAGAATATTGTGGAGGATGTCTAAAATGAGAATTATGTTCATGCCCAATTTTAAAATCATTGCTAAATAATAGGATTTGACCAAATTATCTTGCCATCTTTGTTTCCATTAGGTAAAATTGCAGTAATTCGATCTATAAAAATTTAAAGACTAGAACTCAGTCTTTTCATTTACTTTTCTATGTTTTTAATAAGGTCAAAGGAAAGCAATATTTTTAGAAAGAAGATTCAAAGATAAGTAAGGAAGAGAAAAAATAGGATTAATTTCCAAAATCATGCAAATTATTGTGCTCTGATAATTCAGTTGTAATTTAAACTGCCTACTTAGTGAAATAGATGCTTTCTTTTTCATAAACAAAACTGAGAGCTAATTTTTTCTCTCTTTCATAGGGCACATACTTCATAGCTGTGTTAATTCAAAAACACTAAAATAACAGGGTGGCAGCACTCAGTAAGAAACCAGTGTGGCTTTGGCTATATTTTGTTGCTTCTAAGTCCTTTTCAAATATTATAATTAACCATACTGTTTCTGCTATTTAATCTGCTTATCCTAATTTCCCTATGCTACTCCTTGAGCTGGTAGATATACCCACTCAGTAAGAAAGCAAATAAAATAGTTTGAGTCTTACTGTAGTGATCTCTCTATCTTGCATGAAGCTTTCTTTATATGTAAATTGTATTCCTCCCCTATTCCAAACCACTATTTTTTTCTGTCTCTAGATGTAAGGTTCTTAACAGTGTTGGAGATTTCATCAGATGGGGACAGACAGCTGGTGAACATTCTTTGGCTCTTCAACCGCTTTTCTTTATTCTACCGAAACCCTTTTCCATGATAAATACCTAGAAACATTTAGAAGCCCAAATATTCAAGAAAATCGTTATTATAATACTTGCTTTTCTGTATGTTTTTACCGCACTGTGTCAAGCCATTTGATGAGATGATCTTGCTATTATTTGGAAATAGTTTCCTTTTCTAGAATAAAATGCAGTTCTAATCTTACTACTATAAACGACGTTTTTCTATTACCAAGGATCAAAAGAGTTTTTACTTTTTCTTTTCTTTCTTTCTTTTTTTTTCTTTCCTTCCCCTTGCCTCCCTCTGTTGTAAAAGTTGACATGTGTGAATTCTGGGGCAGCTTAAGAGAGATATTATTAAAATAGGGACCATAAAATTTTTTTTACTTAAGAAACTTGGAGCCATTTTGAACATGTAAAATCACTACTCTTTGCAAATAGGAGGAAGAAGGCACCTACGACCAAACTCTGGAGTTCCGTAGGGGAGGTGATGGCCAGCCAAGAAGATCCACTCGGCCAACTCAACAATTTTACCAGCCACCCCGGGCTCGGAACTAATACGAAAAGGTAAACTTAACATTGTGAAGTGGTTTTCATATAAAGAAAGATGCAATT